TGTCGTTTGTAAGGGTAGAATATTCGACAAATTGACTTTGCAGGACATGCGTCCTGCAGGATCCTGTGTTTCCGGATATTGGTCATGCAAAAACCGGATTATGAAAGACAGAGAAACAAAAACCCAAGCTATCAGCAGTTTCAAATTTCATAGAGAAAACAGAAAAGTTTAGAATACGATTTTAAGAACCATCTTAACAGTTCAGATACAATAGAGGTATTTTATTGCAGAAGTTTCCTTCACGAGAATACTCCTCATTTTGAAGATAGAAAATATATATAATGTATACTTCCTCTGTTCCAATTTACCACCGACATTTGACTTGTAAGCAACCAAACTGAATGATTCAAATCAATTTCGAAAGAACATGAAAAACCGAAGAGAGCGTCCATTGACAGCAGGGCGCGAAAACTTAGTTTTGGCGGTCGAAATCCATCCTTTTTTGAGAATTTATATAAAAATATACAAGTCGACTTTTATAATTCAAAAGTCGGGGACCTGAGCCACTATTTTTGAATTTGCCGCCATGACCACTGACATGACACGCATACGCCGAGAACTGAGTGCCGACGATAAGCTCGAGGTTGTGAAGATGCTGCAACGCACCTTCACCAAGGGCAAGCTGGCCCATGGAGCCATCTCGGCCACTGCAGCCCAACTAACTTCACCGCAACACGGTCTCCTCGTTGTGGTCTTCCTTCAGCAGCAACGAGCCGACGTCGAACAAACCAGGCCGTGTGTGTCGCAAACCAGTCTACACGGCTGATGAGATCACAGCTATGGTGAGCGCTGTACCCCACTCCCGGCGCTCGACAATGCGCGACATCTCGGAAGCAACTGGGTTGTCGCTTGGCACACTCAGCCGCAGCCTGAAGGCCGGCATCATCCAACGCCGCTCGTCACGCCTCATGCCCCTGCTCACGGATGCCAACAAGTTGACCAGGGTCGCGTTTTGTGGCTCGCACGTCCGACGCTCCGCGCCGGCCGTTGAGCTCTGCTAGGTTGACTGCTCCGCTGGCAACCTAGCAGAAAGTCAATTTGACAATATGTGGGGTATCGTGCACCTTGGCGAGAAATGGTTTAACGCGGACAAGGACCGTCGCAAAGTGTACCTGACGAGGAACGAGTCTCTGAGCCGCCGCGCATGCAAGAGCAAGCGATTCATACCCAAGGTCATGTTTCTTGCTGCCGTCGCCCACCCCCGTGTCGACGATGACCGCAGCGTTCTGTTCAATGGCAAGGTCGGCAAGTGGCTCTTCGTGAAGAAAGTCCCGGCCGCTCGCAACTCTCGGAATCGCGCCGCTGGAACTATGGTCTCGACGTTAGTCAACGTCAACGCGGATGTTTACCGTGACTTCGTTCTGTACAAGGTTGTTCCCGCTATCAAGGCCAACTTTCCCAGTGCCTACAAAAGGGTCATTTTGCAGCACGACAATGCGAACCCCATGCCTCGGTCACGGATGTAGTCCTGGAGAGCGTCTCCACGGATGGATGGAAGTTCGTCGTTCGCCGTCAGCCACCCAACAGCCCTGACCTGAATGTTCTGGACCTTGGGTTCTTTGAATCCATCCCAGTTCTACAGTACAAGATGGTGAGTTCATCCATTGACGATGTGATTTTCTCGACGATGACAGCTTTAGATTGATCGATCTACTAGTTGATAGAATTCGTGATCTTCTTGTATAAAGAATCATTTTAAATAGTACTTCCTCCGTTCCAAAAAGAAGTTTACCACTTTTTTGGCATCAAGTTTATATGAAACAAAGTATTGCCAACTCCCAAAATACCATATGATTTGTGTATTTTTATTCATATTTGGAATTTTACGACGAAGGACAGAATGATCTCATGCATGCAT